AGAAGAAACAGGGAGAGTTTGTGTGAGAGTGAGAGAGAGAGAGAGGAAGAAAGAGAGAGACAGAGAGTGAGAGAGTGTGTATGAGAGACAGAGAGAGAGAAAGAGACAAAGATAGACAGAAAGAGAAAGAGAGAAAAGCCAAAGTCGATATTTAATTTCTTGAGTGATGGGTAAAAATACGTAAAAGCCAAAGTCCAGATTAATAACCATATTACCAGTTTTTTACACATTTTACAGACTGGCCAATTTGATACTGTCTTACCCCCACCAAAAGATCTGCTTGGAGATTACTTCATCATTCCTCACAATATAATTGCAATGATATTAAGTTGTGATTCAGACGTTAGTGACATCCTTGTGACATTGTCTTACCCGTTTCACAGTTGACTCCAGCGAACCCGCTGGGACAGGTACAGTTGTAGCCGTTCACACCATCAGTACAGTTCCCGCCGCTCTGACAGGGGTTACTGGCACACTCGTCAATATCTAAGGGGGTGTGCATGGGGTTTTCAGAAACGGTTATTTTTCTACACTCTGTCGTATCAACTAGCATATGGCACGTGTATAAATGGATGCGAAAACACAAGCAAACAGACCAAAAACACTCCCCCCGTGAACTAGTGGACTCTTTCATTGACCCCATGACCTAGAATGTCTGTCAGTTGTCTCTACACAAGGTTCATAAATCATCAATTCTGACAACTCTCAACAAACAAACAAACAAACAAACAAACAGCTACCCAATACTTTATGTAACTGCTGAAAAAATGACTACCATGTGGAAAATACATAATGTTAAAACACAGACAAGCAAACATACACACAAACAGAGACACCCAGAACAATACCTCCATTCACAGAGGTAATAATCTCTGTTACCTGTCTCGCAATATGTTCCGTTGAACCCTGACACGCATGTGCAGGTAAAGTGGTCGATACCGTCGGTACACAGGGCGTTATTTTGGCACAGTTGCCAGGAGCATTCGTCTGTGGACGAAAATAAAACAAACGGCCTTATTTTACCTTTCAACATTGAAGCACCGGTATCATTTTAACGAACTACATTTACATCAGCCTCAATTACCAGGTTCCTTAGGTTTTTGGAAACTCTGGGATACGATTCAGTCTATTTAGCTTAGCCAATTTCTACTACAGCTTTTCGGGCGACCTAGCGGGGCCTGGTAGAGGCTACTGTTGCATTTACGTGCATAATAACATGGGGAAGGCAAAGAGCCTTTAACTACTTCAAAACATCTAGAGATCATTATTAGCTACTTTGGTCTTCATAACTAACATGTAATATCTCACTGAAATATTATCTTTTTTTTTCTTTTGGCAAGCAAAAAACAAAACAAAACAAAACAACTTGAATTCACTACAGAAAATGGAATCTCCTTTTTTAACAAATTTCCCCATCGATATTATATATGATTATTATGTGATATTTTGAACATATGAAAAGATAAAAGATTAATGAGTTAAGAAAGTTACTAACCTCTTGAGATGATAATGAAGACGGCCAGTATACTCCCGGCCAGGATGACCGCCGCTGCCAGACCCGCTACTGTCAGTTTTACAGACAGGGACGTGCCGAGTCCAGCTCCGGGTTTGATCGGACCGACTTTACTCTTACCGATACCGTGTCTGAACAGGAGGCAAATGTTATGAAGCAAGTTTAAACTGTAATTTTCAACAAAAAAATTGGACTTTCGACTGTACAACTTCAGTCTTTGTCAAGGAATGAGCAATCCACCACGTCGTCACGCAGATAACACACGTGACTCCGTGAGCAGTGGATAATAGGTTGCAGAAAGTCTGTGGCGCCCCCCGTCTCTGTTGAGGGAGTCACGTGTGTTATCTGCGTGACGTCACGGAAGAGGTGGATTGCTCACTCATTGACAAAGATATTGCCGTACCAGTAAAATAGAATAATAACTGTTGCAAGTGCTTTGTTGTGTATAAAATGAATTCTGTGGAGGAAAAAAAAAAAGTGGAACTTACGTCTCCGATGTTTTCAGACTTTTCGCCCCTGATCTCTGTAGACAAAAACGTGGAAGAAATGAGTAAAATGGCAAAAAAATCCATGTGATGAGGCAACGCGCGCTTGCTAGTTTAGTAAGTTCTTCATAGCCTCCGTAGCAGGCTTATAGAATTGGTGGTCTGTCGGCTGTTTTCTGATTAGCCCAGGTTAAAAAACGGGGGTAATTCAACCAGGCCGGCTATGTTGTCTATATGTAATCATAAAATTGCACATAAAAGCTCCCAAAGACCATGAAGACCCCCAAACCCCCAGTTTTTTGCATGCTATGGAGGCTAAGTTCTTTACCACTTGAGCAGTGATTCAACACAGAACGTTAACCCGATGCAAGTCTTTGAAATCTATCTGCCCATGCACGTACCTACCTTTGCATGTCTAATAGTTCTAGACAACTTGGCAGACTTGAAAAAACAGACTTTTACTGATTGTCCAAAATGTTTACCGTAGATTCAAAGAGATTCTACATGTATAAGCCCCTTTTATTACTGCAAGCCAGTTCTTGGTGAGGGTCCTCGTACAAAGCTACATTCGTCGCACGATCTCCGTACAATCGCAAACGGTGGGTCTTAGTGGTGTCGTGCCTGTGGCGTAACGACAGAGTGTTCGACTCAGAACCAAATTTAAACGGTTCGAGCCCTGCCAAGTCACCAACCTTAGCTTGTGCCCTTGGGAAAGGCATGTTACATGGCTTTCCATACTTCAATCAGGGGAAAATGAGTGAATGATCATTATCATGAGCGAAAAAAAACGTTACTAAGGAAATTTTTGGGATAAGTTGTACATACATGAACATGTAACAAAGTTCAGTCGTACATGTCTTGTTAATGTTACATACGTATAAAATCCTTTCATAACCTAAATTCTAAGCCCGTGACCTCAATCGTACGACCACCTACAACAATTTTAACCATGCACGCCATCAAAAACATCATATAACACGTTCTAAACTTATTATAACACCACACCATCTGCACGAGTTCTTACCGGGAGAATGGAGTACTCTGACAGCGGGATGCCCTTGTTCCCAGCGCCGGTTACAGGAGACAGTCTAGTGACAGGCAACAGTCGTCCTTCGGTCCCGATCGGAGCTAGCCCCTGCTTAGGGTTGTCCCGTAGAGGGGGGAGGGTGGGGCCGCCAGCTGCCGCGATACCCCCCGCTTCTGTACCCCCTACCGACCCCCCTGGCACATCACTAGACGATGTCAACTCTTCTAGTTTTAAATTCTGTGCCATGGTCTAAAACAAACCGTTCTTTACCGAAATCTTGAGCAAAAGTGTGCTGAGAGAACCTACGTGTTTGCCATTTCTTCGCAGCAAGAAAATATTGTTAAGGCGATATAGCGTTTCAAGCTTGTATTGTTGGTCGCTGTTTACTATGGTGCTACTGACAGAATCTTTTATGTTCGCTGTTAAATGGTATGTGGTGTAGAATGGCGGGTCTTGACCATACATCCATGGATCAGAACCAAATATTAAAGCTGCATTATGTAACATTGTTACGATGCAAAAAGTAAATTTTCTGGTCAGTTCTTTACAAAGTAATTTGAATCATAACTACTCCATTGCAAATTAGTGTCATTCAGTAAGTGGAGGTGCCAAAATGTAACACCATACGAATGTGTTTAAAAGCTGGAAATAATGCTGTCAGCCATGTTTGTTTACACTCTGGTATTTTGGGTGGTACCACAAAAAGGGTGCGCCTAGTGAGGGCTGTTTTAGCGCCAACCATAAATGTCATAATGTGAGATTGTTGTAAAAAATATGTTGAAAAGTGGAAGTAAATTAAAATCACATGAATATTATTTTCAACCAAAATATTTCAATCCAAAGTTCTCGATTTTTGTTCTCTAACATCACAATACTGTATTTTTGGTCCAAAGATATAATTTGTTCACTGAATAATACTTATAACATTTGACTGTTTTCAGGAATTTTATTGTCATTGGTTCCACGTCGTTTTAACGGTAACACAACACCATACTTCTTGACATCAGCATAAAGCGTTACTGGGGGCACAGACATTTGATAGTGTTTTTATTACTGCGTTGCGTTGTTGACATGTACCCCCCTTGCCAAAGTAAGCTTTGCCACGTGACGTATACTTTATACACTAACGTGCATTCCCTTTTTACCTTCGCCAAGATAGTTATGTTTTCCATAGCGTTTGTCTGTGTGTGTGTGTGTGTGTGTATGTATGTATGTATGTACGTACGTGGTTTTGCATGATAACTTAAGAAACGTTGGGAGTATATTGTCATGAAACTTGGTAGTTGGGTAGGGGCTGAGAAGACCTAGAAAGATTAGATTTTAGGCCCCCTGGTGGCTTGTTAAGGCTTTTTTCACGCAGATGGATTCATTTAATCTGTTTTATTACCTTTTTCTAGATAGGAAAACGTTACTATTGTCACTTTGGGTATATATCGAATATTCTTTGCCAGTAACGTTTTGTAATGTTATGTTCTCTTAGACCTTAGTTCCTGTTATGTTCACCAGGGTTTTATTCTATTTTTCAGACAAATTCCTTGAGCTAACGATTCATGTGGTTCCAAAAATGTTACATCGAAAGAAAAAATTGCAAGAATCGAAAGGAAATGACAGAAAAAAGCGTGAAAATTTGTGAATTTGGGCAAATTCCAAACGTCTGTCTGAAACAGGTGGCAAAAACGACAGGTGGTTGGATTTCCCAGCATCCCTAGCGATAGACAAGATGGCCGCCTCCTGTGATCAGAGAAAAACCGGCTTGAAAATCTGGCCAAAAGTCATCTTATTCGGGGACTCAATAACCCAGGTAAGCTCGCAAAATGTGGATGTGATGCCTTTTTATACTTTTAGTCCAACTTAAGGCAGGAGCTTTGTTTTATACATTTTTGGCGCTGCATTGAAATATTAGTAGTATCGTTCCTTAGCAAAGGGGGGGGGGGTATTTTTTGTTCATCGAAGAGAAAATCAGTGATAGTTTAATATGAGCCTTTTTGTCAAGATGGTAGTTTGATTTTCTTATCGTCTGATGGTGACTCACAAACCTTGAGATTTAGTTAGTGCAGGGAATTGGTTTACGTGGTGAGTCAGCTGTACAGTAATGTAATTGTTATACCAATGTTACTATTGAATAATTTGATTGCCACGTACATATGTAGTGGCCAACAAAATTATGCCTAATTCAGCAACAAAAAGATTGAATATGAATAAGATTTCTTAAATTCCAAGACTACATAAAATTCATAATGCATGTACATGGCCTAAATCATATTATTTTGGGTGTGGTCATAATTTTTGTTAATAAGGACTAAAAAATTGTCCTTCTCCAAAATGTTTCAAAATGAAGCAGTCCCAAGCATTTTCTTTTTAAAATGAAATCTTATATTATTTGTGAACATAATCACAAAAAGCTGGTTTATGGTTTGAAAAAGTTACACATGTGTGAGGTACATGGTGAAGTCCAGACTTTTCTTAACTGTTCTATCTATTAAAACATACATGACATAGAATCCCGAGCTCCCGTTGGAATGATTTTCATGGTTATAAAGAACCTGAGCTCCTATTGTTGTTTCTGGGATTGGTTAATTCTTGTCAGAGGTGTATGGCCACTACCCTAGTACTACTACTTAATAAGCCCTGATATGATGACAGAGGCCTGACCAGGCCCTGACAACAAAAGATTGTGTGAAACAGGCTAATATAACCTGTGTGTGTTTATACAGTATGCCTTTAACGATGGAGGATGGGGTGCAGCACTACAAGAACTTCTACAAAGGTACAATCCACTAAATAAATAAAATATAAATAATCAAATATTAAGTTTACACCAAGAAGTAATGTTAACCCTTCAAGTTGCATTTTAGGAAAAGCCTGCGAAGTGTGTGCACTAAGTACTGTTACAGTATTATTTACTACTAGAGCTGATCTATTTAAATGTGGTATTCAAGTTAGTGTAATTATGTTTACCGAAGGAAAACATATTGTTTTTGCTTGCATGGTTTCTTCCTCCTCTTCTTCTTCTTCTTCTCCAAACAGTGACCTCTGACCTGACCAATGACATGATTTGTTGACGGCTGTCACCATGGTGACTGGTCTTGGGTTACATAATGTTGCAATTTCATAGTCTGCTCTGCTCCTGTCACCATATACTAGTAGTACATGTATGTGAATGTATTTGAGTAAGAATTAACAGAGCAAACCATGTCCTAAGGTAAACATTATGCATTTGCTTTGCAAATGTTACTTCTCTAGTTAATTTGTAAATTAGTTACCTATTCTCTCTTTACAGGAAATGTGACATCATCTGCCGAGGTTTCTCTGGTTACAACACAACGTGGGCCAACATGATCCAACCACAGGTCATCAACCAGGAGAACGCCTCTGATGTCGTACTAGTCATTATATTCTTTGGTGCTAACGACTCTTCCTTAAAAGGTAAGATGGTGGATACATTAACATAAATTAAGGCAGGCCACACCAATTTGATTTGTCGGTTCTCAGATGCGCCTCTTCATTTTTTTTTGATTTGCAAGAAAAAAAAAGACTGATTCTGAATCAACTCAAAAATGCTCATATTTTTCCCCCAACAGTTGAGGAATGTCCTTTTCTTTCTAGTTGTTACAGTTTTTCCATCTTTTAATGCAGTGGTTTGATTAAAAGTTTATAGTTCAAATATTAACCCAGCCTTTTGTGTTGACTTCATGGCTCAAGTAGCATTTGGGGCTATAATAGGATGCCTAGACCTGTTTATATTTTCATCTTTTTTGTATACAAGAAACAAAACAAAATGGCAAAACATACAGAAAGTACTTACAGGACAAAACAAACATACTGTATGAATCTACAAACTTTGAGGACAAATGAACACATAAAGCCATTACTCATAGTCCATATTTCAATCTGTTCTTCGGTAGGTCCGATGAGGTCAGAGGTCAGCCCATGTTGTTAACCTTTCATGAACTTTGACATTGACCCTTGACCTTTGCCCCTGTTTCAGAGGAGAACCCACAACAACATGTACCACTGGAAACTTGTTTCCTAAAGTTTGATAACC